CTGCCGCCAGCAAGCAGAAGTGGCAGCGGTGGAAACAGCGAGCAGCGCAGCGGCAGCACGACGCATCATGATTCGTATGTGAGTCCGAGCCATGTCTCGATTGGTGGCAGCTCTGCAGGCAGCGGCAGTGTGCATGTTGGTCTCGGGCTGCCGCAGTCGCGCCTGATCCGGCGGAGCACACGCACCGGCAAGCGGTTTGCAAGCGGCAGCGGACTGCAGCCATCAGTCGCGTTCAGAGACGACTTGGATGTGGGCATGAGTCTGAGTCCGAACGTGCTGAACATGCGCACGATGGCAGGCAGTGTCGGCGAGGCAACTCCGCCGAGCAGGCAGCGGATCGGGCGGAGCACCACGATGCTGTATCGCGAGCCATCGGTCGGACGGCGGCAGCCCGCTGATGCAGCCATCCACCAGCGACTGAGCGAGCTCGAGCAGCGGATGGAGCGCATCGAGAGTCTGCTGAGCCGAGCGGTCGACAAGCTGGACTCGCTGCTCAGCTCATCCTAAGTAAGCATATAAATGGGTAGCTGGCCAATTAGACGGCTAGTTAACTCGCTAACTTGCTATTGTGTGCTTTTTTGTTTTCAATTGCCAGTTGTAATACATGCTCGGGCACAGCGCAGACGACTGATGACCACGATATGCAACGCCTTTAACGAAATGAGATAGAAAGAGTGGGAGAGTGAGCTGCGACACTGCTTTCCAACAACAACAGCAGCCAAAAGTGCGGTTGCTGAGCCAGCTCCACGGAAGCGGCACAGACAACAAACAGCAGACACCAAAAGAGGAAAAGAATGGCTTCGCCCGGGTTCGAACCGGGGACCGTCTGTGTGTTAGACAGACGTGATAACCGACTACACCACGAAACCTGCTCTTGTTCGATTCTGCTGTGATGCTTTTGCATTGTTGTATATATCTCGCTTTTTGGCATTCAGATGGTCCAGCCAGCCACTTTCATTGCAGGCACCGACTTGGGATGCAGTTGGATACACTCGGATGTGGATGAACATCAAATATTGTGTGCAGCTTTGCAGCTCTCGACATATCTGTGCAGTGGCAGAGTTGAATCGAATCTACAGTGGAGTCTGAATGAAGCAACTGTTTGTGATGCTTTGAACTTCGTATATTTGCAATCCAGTGTGCAGCCAGAGTTGGCACATCGACTGTGTCTGTCACTGCAGTTATATCTTCGGCAGTAGCATTGGATGCAGTAAAATGGCAACAACAAGTCAGCGTGTCAACAGGCACACTTTGCCGAAGCAAAGCAAGAAAAGAAGGAAACAACACTCACAACCAGCCATCACCTTCGAATCAGCCAAAAGTGATTCCGCACCAGGGAATCGAACCCTGGCCGTCTCGGTGAGAGCGAGAAATCCTGACCACTGGACCAGTGCGGAAGCTTCTGATGTTTTGTGTTT